ATCTTAAAGGTCTTTTCCAACTGAAATGATTTGATGATTCCATAATTCTAAGCTGTGGAATGAGGGCTATTCAGCTTTAGATCTGTTTATATTCATGTTCACCAGCAGTACTGACCCCTGCATCCTTTGCTGATTTATTACCCAGAGTTCTAGTCATAAATCCAGGTAGTAATTAAAAGAAACAGTGTCTCAGTAGGAGTAGATTTTGGTTTTAATTATTGCCTCCTCTGAAGTGGTATTTCCAAACAGCAATATTTAGATCTTCACTTCATGACCTTGTTATGTCCAGTGTCCAGCTTACACAGACATAAGCCTACAAGACCTTTTCTCATTAACAGAGTAGCTTAATGTTTTTGAGGAACGTGTGGCATTTGTAACCAGCCCGCTCTTTCTACCAGTGTTTTACATTTCACTTTTAAATCTCTTTTAAAGTTGGACTCGATTTTTCCAACCTAAATGATTCTATGATTCTCTGTTAAAGTCTCAAAAAAACCCCAAACAACTGACCTTCTTCACACTGCATATGCTCTTTATACCAGGCAGATTTCCATATGCATACATGGCTATTCTAATTCCACATACCTTCAGTAGGCTCTGAACTGAAGATTATAAAGAAGTCTATAACTCGTGATGTGAAGTCAAACGCTGTTTGCTGACTGCCATGGACAACAGAGATACTGTGCCGGTCACCATAGCTAGCCCGGGGCATACCTCCTTGGAATATAATGTAAGGAAGCCTTAAGAGAAAGAGAGTTAGAGTGGTGTGTGCTGAAATCAGGAGTAAGCAAAATTTAAAAGACATGAGGCAAGTCAAATTTTGACAAAAAATTCTTATAATGTTACTCTAAAGGGCTCTTATGGTATTGCACACTGCACCCCTTAAATGCATTTAAACAGGCGAGAGTGAAGGGATACATCATGAACTTACCCATTTTTTGTGGTCTGCCAGTATATCTTGGAGATGGCCTTACAAGGAAAAGGACCTAAGAGAACAGAGTTATTTGCCATAATTCAAGAAATGCATATTTCCATAAGAAGTTCCTTATTCTGCTTCACCTACGCCACCTCAGCCTCCAAGTCAAGAGGAGCCACTTGAATAGATAGACCAAGTCACATCAGACAAGTATTCTGGGACACACTGACCAGAGTACCCTTCAGCAAAACAAACCTTAGACTCAGGGGAAGCTTTGGACCACACTGCTGATGGCTAACAGGGAGTGGAAGTGTTGTTGCAGAAGCTGATTAACTAGAAAGGATTGTTAAAAACACAACCATTCCTGAAACTAATGTAAAGGTGATTTAGAGCTTCGTCTAAAGGAGCTTTAGAAGCTTCTATATGCTTGAAAGATGAGGTCATCCCCATCTGATGGGTTTCAGCAAATCAGAGGCATCATTTCATCATTGCTCACGTCGACAAAAAGTACACTTAGCTCACTATTAATTACAGAAGATCCAAGCAACTCCTGCTGAACTAAAATAAAGAGCTGAATCACCAACACCTTCTTCATAAGGGACACTAATTTCTTCAACACATTTGTTCTCCATGTTCAGGACAGACCTCAACAGCGTAAAGGAGTTTAAAATCCAAGAATAAAACTGGACTGAAACCCCTTAGTCTTATGACCCATTCAAAAGGCAGCTCTGCATTTTGCCATTAGGATTAAACACTGGGGAAAATGCAATTTAAATAACCGACACAAACTCAAAATGAGTTTGCATTTAGATGAAGATGCAAAAATTGAACTTCACTTACTGACCATAAGGCACAAGGTTTTCCAGAGGCTCAGGCTGCCTGTTGTCACCGGATACAGGCCACTGGGTGTAACTTCCATCGTAGTGACAACTAATGAATTTACTGCCATCCCTCTGCCAGTAGAGGTTCTCCAGTTGCTGATGAGGGAGACACACAATGACTGCTCTCTAGAGAGCTGTTAACTCCCCCAAAACCAATGCATTCTTACTAAACAAGCAGCTTTGTCAGGCTTTCCCTGCACCTACTTGTCTTCAGAATGCTCTGAGAGGAAAGAGCCCTTCCTCCCCTGCCAAACTGACTTTGGATTAAATTAATACCTGGCTGCCCAGGAAATGGTGAGTCACTTTGTTATTCTGCAGATCCCAGAGGACAATCAAACCCCTGCTGTATCCAATTAGGATCTGGTCAGGGTTCTTTGGATGCTCACGAAGGGCTTCCACCAATTCACATGATCGCCTATTACAGTAATCTTCTGGTACTCTACAGAAGCAGAAGACAAAACCAAGAAAAATTTATTCCAGGTACAACCCAATATGACCGAAATAACAATTAAGATAACAATAAATTAAGCAACAAAAGGTTCAAACAGATGAGAATAAATACAATCTTTCCATGAATCCTTCAAGCAGCAGAAAGGTCTTATGCAAGACACCAAACCAGGCCTGTCATATGAACATGCATCCAGTTCCATTTACTTCAGGGAAAAAACAGTGTTTACAATGAATTCCAGGACTGGATCCCAGGAGTATAAAGACAATCTGAATCACCTGCCCTATTCTCTTGACCCTTACAGAATAAAGGTAACATGGAAATGTCAGCA